CCCCTCATCAACTCTGTACCTTATTTAAGAATTTTATGTATGTATATGTTTTCCTGCGAGAGATTTGGTTCACTCACCAGGCAAGAGTCGAGAGAGAAGGTCGAAAGCCAGGTGCCTCAGGATGGAGCATAGTGTCACGTGCATCTTAACTGTTAGACCAAAAGCTGCTGCTCCTCACTCCTGTATCCCTTACACTGATTACATATTAAACTGGTAATAGGTTAGTTTAAAATAAAATACAGTGGGACCAGTGCAGTGGCTCTCTCACTAATCTTCCACCTGCAAGTACCTGTTTATAGCCTGGAAAGCAGTGAAGGAGAGTCAAAAGCCTTAGCATCTTGCACCCACATGGGAGAGCCAGAGGAGGCCCCTGGCTACTGGCTTCTGATCGGATCAGCTCCTGTCATTCTAGCCATTTGGGGAGTGAACCAGCAGATGGAAGATCCTTCTGTCTCTCCTTCTCTCTGAAAATTTGCCTTTCCAATAAAAATTTTGAAATCTTAAAAAAAATACAGTAAGTTCGATTGTTGCTATATTTTCAGTATGGCTCCAGGAACCTCAGAAATGATCTAAGAGGCTCCCATCCAATTCCTACCGGGAAGGACTTTTCCAGAGACAGCTCTGCAGAGAAAGGAGCTAAATAACCTCCAGACACCTCACAGGAAATTACAGGGCACCATGCCATTCGCCTTCACACCATGAGTGTGCACATCTCAGTGAGCACAAAATAGTTCAAAACACATAGCATCAAGGAGAAGATTCACAGAATGCATTTCTTATACATCATATTTGTTTGCATTTGAAAATAACAAATATAGAATAATTTTTTAAAGATTTATTTTGTTTTTTATTGGAAAGTCAGATACACAGAGAGGAGGAGAGACAGAGAGGAAGATCTTTCATCTGCTGATTCAGTCCCCAAGGGTCACAATGGCTGGAGCTGCGCCAATCTGAAGCCAGCAGTCAGGAGTCTCCTCCGAGTCTCCCACAAGGTTACAGGATCTTAAGGCTTTGGGCTGTCCTCGACTGCTTTCCCAGGCAATAAGCAGGGAGCTGGACAGGAAGCGAGACCACTAGGATTAGAACTGGTACCCATATGGGATCCCAGTGTGTGTAAGGTGAGGACTTTAGCCACTAGGCTACTGCACAGGGGGCCCCAGAATATTTTTAATTAAAAAAAATAAATAAATAAAAACATCTATGAGCACAAAACATTACAGTCACAACTAGGTGAGAACAGAATTACCATACATGGAGAGGAAAATCAGTAAGAAAATACAGCAAAGGTTTGGGTGTAATTTTTAATTTGGGTTTCTTGTTTGATTTTTTCTTCTTATAAAATTTTTCTATTTTTCTTTAATTAGCATTATTTCACTGTAACTACTTTTGTAAAATATACATCTAGAGTCTAGTCTTTAAAGTTTGCTGTTTGATATAAACCTGTAGTGTGTGTGTGTGTGAGAGAGAGAGAGCAAGCGAGCCTGACCAAGGCTTGAAGGGGTAAACCTTCCAACATCCTTATGCTGAGCTCCCAGCTAGCTCCCTGCTACAACAGCTTTTGTTCTGCAAATCACCAGATATCACCCAGTACACACTTTAGCAGGAGGACTTGGAGTTTTTACCAATGTGACTAAAGAGATAAACATTTTGTAATAGCCTATCATGTTCCAAACGCAAGTATTTCTCTTCAATCAGCACAAGTTTAGAGACAGCATGGTTCTCCACCCAAAGAATATAAGCAGCCTGGCTACTCAGGCCTCCGCTTCCAAAGCAAGTGGTGACACTTGTACATCCAGAGTGTCCCATGGGGGTCTCATGGCCCCTGTGCACACGTCGTCATTGAACCCTCTCTGACTCATTGAAACCATCTCTACTTGAACTTCTAGTGAACAAAACCATCCAGCCTTGATTCCCTTAAACAGTAAGAAAATGTCTGAAAGGGCAAGATCGGCAAGACTGAGGTCCCTGAGTAACTTGTTATGGTTAAGGTTTACTAAGACCACAGCTTAGTGCGACACTCAGGTTTCCAGCCCCTCACTCATTCGCTACAAAGCCAACCCGCCTGACTGGCTGGGATACAGCCCTTCAAACAAACCTCCCTGAGAATCTCCACAGGAAGGATGAGGCAGCCTCAAAAAATAACAAAGCCGCTTACCTAAAAACTAAAGTACTTTACTCCCTTTAGTAAAAACTGTACAACTTAGAAAAGTACAAGAGAAGTACACAGCCAGGCAATCTAACTAAAGCAAAACCCAGGGACAGTGACTGAGAACAAACAGAAAAACTGACTCTCATAGCCAGGAAACACCCTACTACTATCACAGCCTCTTCCTCCTGGAGAGGGGAGAGTACCTGGGGCAGATGCTGACTATTTAAAAATACCAACACACAACTTGAAGTAACATGAAATGAAAGGCTGCCAACAAAGGTGACAAAAGAGCTTACACAAACTTGTAACTCGTTTCTCAAGTCTGTGAACTCTCTGAGCCCAGAGACCTTGCAAATGACTTTACTGGAATGCAGTATCAGATGAAAACAATGTGGGAATTTAAAAAAAATCTGCTTTGGTTTTTAATCAGGTTAGCATCATGACAATTTTCTTCTCTTTTAAAAAATTTCAGTGTTTACTAAAATCAGATCAGCAAAAGCTGTTAAGCTTAGCCCAACAAGTACTAACAGCTTCTCTCAAACAGTCCCAAATTAAAACAAGAATGACTAAAAACTCAATTCAGTCATATAGCTGAGTATGGTTCAGATCTCAACCCCAGGACAATTCCAAATATTGACTTGTTTTGGAATGCTTCTTTCTTTTTAATTAAAACAAATTAAAGATTCTGATTATTAGAAAGGCAGAGTTACAAAGAGACACAGAAGATCTTCTTTCAGCTGGTTCCCTCTTTAAATAGCCACCACTACTGGAGCTGGACCAGTCTGAAGCCAGGAGCCAGGAATGTCATCTGGGTCTCCCATGTAGGTGCAGGGGCCCAGACACCGGAACTACCTTCTGCTACTTTCCCAGGCACATTAGCAGGGAGTGATTGGACAAGGAGCAGCCAGGACTCTAACTAGCACCCAGATGGGACACCAGTACTGTGGGCAGTCTACACCCCCAGCACCAGCCCCTGGAATATTTCTAAGAACACACTTTTCAAAGCTTTTCAGCTTATAGAAAATCAATTTGTATCTTACTTCCAATTACACCAGTGAAGTTAACTTCAATACACTGACTTCTGAATTCTAATGTGTATAATTTGCAAGTATCACCTGAAACTAATGATTAGGGTCACAAATATCTACCTCACTGCATGACACCACACTCAAATATTAACATCTACAGAAAAGGTCCTTCCAGAAATCTATTACAAAAAAGAACAGAAAGGAAACAACATTGAAAAAATAATAAGTAGGGAAGCTTCTCTATCAGAGCAGCATTGTGAACTAGCTTGAAACAAAGCATGCCCACACCACACTGTGTACAGATGGACAGGTGGGTCCTGAAGCTCAGAGAGGCTTCTGAGTCTGGCTACACGACAGAAGAGATGTCTGATAGAAACACAGTGCCTGAGTAAAACAGAAAAACATCAAGTTCAGGGATAAACTGAATTTGAAATGGGTCAAAGGCAAATCTCTAGATGTAAATTCTGGCAGAGCAATGCCTTGGTGTACCCTACTGGCCACCTGGCTCGCCAATATCCCATACTAGTGTGCTTGGGTTCAAGGACTGGCTCTGCTCCCATTTCCTGCAGGCATCAGTGATGGCTCCAATTCCTGGATCCCTGTCACACACGGGAGACCTGGTCTGAGCTCTAGGCTCCTGGCTTTAGCTTGGCCCAGTCATCATGACCTGCTTGTTTTTGTCTCTCTCAAATAAGCAAATAAATAAATTTTTGAAAAAAGTTTTATTTTCATTGAAAAGGCAGATCAGATTTATTGAGAAGGAGAGACAGAAAGATCTTTCATCTGCTGGTTCACTCCCCTCAACTGGCTGCAACGGCTGGGGTTGCACTGCGCTGATTCGAAACTAGGAGCCAGGAGCTTCTTCCGAATTGTCCACATGAGTGCAGAGTCCCAAGACTTTGGGTCATCTTCTACTGCTTTCCCAGGCCATAAGCAGGGAGCTGGATGGGAAGTGGAACAGCCGGGGCACAAACTGGTGTCCATATGGGATCCCGGTGTTTGCAAGGTGAGGATTTAGTCATTAAGCCCATACTGGGTCCCAATAAATAAAAATCCTAAAAATAAGATCTTTGGCAAACACAGACCAAGGTTCCTGTCTGAGATGATTTGAAAAGCTGCAATGCTAGCACCAGTGTGATCCTAAGTCTTTTTATTTGAGGAAGCTGCTTTCTAGTACATATGTGAAAGACAGCTGGCTCCCTTACATCTCATTATGCTAATCCAAGAGCTTAGCCATACATTTCCAAAATATAAAACACATCTTACAGACATAGGTTTTAGTTAACTGATTCTTTCTCAGCTATTTAAATTAAGAATATTATTACAAACCATTTTTTACATTCCAATAGATGCTTCCTTGATCTAGAAAATCCTCAGTGGCTGTCACACAGTTGCACATGAAATGCCCCTAGCAGTGATTACAACAGTTCTAGAAGCCACTTAAATGGCCCATAAGGCTGCCAGCTAAGCCCAACAAAGGCTTCAACAATGCAAACAATTTCCAAATCGAACAGCCAAATTATTCCTATGATGGCAATTCTTACTTCTGTTCAGAAACAGAGTGCACTACTACACTAAAAGGCAAAACCCAGTTGCCCTGGGAAGCAAGAGGCAGAACAGGCCTCCCACAAACTGGCATTCTGCTGTCTCGCTGCCTGTGCTAAAAAATGAGCCAGACACCCTGAGCATTTGAAAAGCAGGGATTGTTCCTTTCATCCAGAGGAATTATGTGGCAAACTGCCCCTTAACTCACAATAACGGCGATGGATGCTAGGACGTCTAGTTGCTGATCACAGGTCTCCCATAAAGATTACACTTCTTACCCTGACGACTTGCCGCGTGCTTGTAATGAAGGCTTTTCTTATACTCAGTTCAGTGGCATCGAGGTTGAATTTTCTAGGATTTGCTTCAACTATGTGTAGGTCAAAAAGTCAAGGCAAAGTAATTTCATCACCAAAAGCATAACGACCAACTTCCCATTAATCTCCAGAGTCTGTCCCATGTAGGCAAAATCGGACTGAAACGTTCTGCAAATTAGTCACCTCGACAGTAACCACTTTCAGACTTTCCTGCCCACAGCTACAGCTACATCCTGGTCCCAAAGAAGAGCCCAAAATGAAGAGATGCAGCTCCTGTAACTGGACACACGACAGATTTGTGGCCATCCGATGCTGCGAGCTGAGGTCTTCCTGACACTTGCCAGTACTCACATCTATCCTTTTCTGACTTCTGGTTGGTTTTCCCATGGCAGCTTTAGCAAGCCTTTTTCAACTGCCATTCCAAACCCCCGTACTTGTGCTAAGATGTGAACCCAACTTCCCACACTCCAAAGGTCAGTCGCCTTCAATGCCCCTGCATCCCATTGTTAGCCTGGTCATACCCCTACATGACACACAGGGTTCTCTGCACTTCTTGTTACTACTAGCTAATACCTGATCCCTACCCCACCCCAAATCCTCTGCTTTCACAGATCCAATCTCAGTAATGGACAGAACACCAGGTACATGGTGTACCCTCCCTCTCAGTGTTTGCTGAATGAACATGGAGTTATCAGTTGGAATTTCTGCCCTTTTCTCACAACTTCTTTATTTCTCTCAATCTTCCCCCCCCCTCCTGTATCCAAGGAAGAACCATCTCCAGAAACTGCTTTTGATCTCACATCCTCTCCTATCACAGTTCCCTAATTTCAGGAAATATACTTGCCTCTTAACTACTTAAAAAGCACTCTTATTATCAGCTGCACATGACCTCTGTTGATAAAAGCCAGTTCCTTTCATGTTTTATCTCACATAGAGGAAAATAAAACAGAACTTACAGCATACAACTCTTATCTTCCATCTAAAATTTTGGATAAATAGAATTTTCCAATTGAAAAAAAAGTCCATTTACAATTCAGCTTTCACAGTGCTTCAGTCTCATCAGTCAGACCAGCTGCACGCCAACAGCATGGATTAGCCAAATAGATCTACTTTCCCTGAGTGCAGTTTCTTGGTATAAGATGCCTCTCCAACAGACAGTGACATTGTAATGTCACTTCTCACACAGGAACTTGAACTCTAAGTGCCAGTGTCTAACTGGTCTGTGTACATTTCCAAACAGAAGCTAGTAGCAATGGCCACTAATGTGCACCCCGCACCATTCTGAGGTCTTCATATAGTAGCCTTCAACACCCTCTTTCTACTGAAGAAAAGCTGAGGCACAGAAAAGTCAACTTGCCCCTAACCACACAATAGGCATGGTGGCTGTGACACTGACATCGTCATCACACAAGCAGCCCCACTCCTGCTTCCCAGCACACAGCTCCACAATCCCTAGACTCTCCCTTGCCACGTGAGTCTTGTGCTAATGAGATAACTAAGGCTCAGAGCTTCCATCCAGGGAACCAATCAGAGTCAGAGAGTTGGAACTTCTAGCTTCACCCCTTCCTGACCTCTGGGAGGGGAAAGAGGATGTAGGTTGAACTAATCACTGCTCCCTGTGGTCAGTGATGTAATCACTTGTGCCTAAGTGGAGAGGGGACAGGATTCAGAGAGTTGAACACAGGAGGTTCCTGTGGGGTGGTGCACCTAGGCAGGGCTGGAAGAGCAATCCCCATTCCCTCTACTTCGTCCTGTATGCCTCTGTCACCTGGCTATCCTGTATAAAACAAATGGATAAATGAAGGCAATGTGTGTGCCCCTGAGCTGTGTGTGTCCTCCAGTAGATGCATTAACTTAAGGATGACTTGTGACCAGTGGCTGAAGCGAAGCAGTCTCACAGGACTGAGTCTTCAATCTCTGTGCTCTGATATCATTTCCAGGTACAGTATCAGAATGTAGCTGAACTGTAGGATGCCCAGCCCTCCTCATCTGGAGAATTGAGTGGTGTGTGCAGGAAAATCCCTGCACATCTAGTGTCACAGCACTGTGTCAAGTTGATATCATATCCTTTCCCTTGGTGGAGGTGGACTCAAACACCAGCAATCTGCCTCTGAGTCTGAAGTCATAATCACTGCAGCACATGGCCTCTCTGCTACAGGCTTGTCAACCTCAGCTTCCTGCACCACTCACAACATGTCATGCACAGATGTGAGCAGCAGGACTGCTCAAAAAAGAGCACATCTATGTGTGGAGACACCTATCATTGCCCCAAGCGCACAGACCAGAGAAGGATATTGATGGTTTCATCAAGGTCTTCCAAATCCCACTCAATGCTGCGCAGGTTGTTCCTCAGCTCATTGGTGGTCCAGTCGATTTCCTCTCTTGTTGCTGTGGAAGGGTCCTGGAGGAGCTCTGTCCATCTCTGAAACAATCCCTGGGCAGTGTTCACAGCTTTCTGGACCTCCCTGCCATCAGGGTAAAAAGGAGAGAGAAACGTCACAGATGATGATGCCTGCAGGATCTCAGTGTTAATCATGACCCCACCCCACCTGCAATGGGAGGGAAGGGGAGAAGTCACAGGTGATGATACCTGCAGGACCCCAGTGTCACTCACGACCCCACGGTGTGCTCAGCAAACACCACATTCAGAAAGTTCTTCATTGAAAATATCAAATTCAAAACTTTAAATACATTAAGTGGTATGTTTTCAGCTGATTCTCAGAATAAAACCGTATTTAAACAGGTATAATATCAAGAAGGACACATTTAACTTTTTTCTAAGGAACGATCTAACAAATCAACTAGAGTTGCTGATTCCCATACCTTCCATCTGGTGCGAGCAACTACAGGCAAATGAAAAAGCCCTCACGCAGCCTTTCTTTTCTTGGAGTGGGGACAGCGGGCAGAGTAAAGGGAGGAATATTATGTACAGCTTCTGTTTCACAGGTTAAATATTTTAATCAGATGTTTTTAACCCCCAGATCTGACTGATTTGGAGAAGAAAAAGGAACACACTTTCTCATAACTCAAAATGCCTGGTTTATTTTAAGTGCTGAGTATCATCCATGATAACACAGAGCATCTGTGAAGGCAGCTCATCCTAAAGAACACAGAATCACGGAAGCCTCTGACCACGAAGCTGCTGCCATTTCAGCCACCAGCATCCAACAACGCTGCAACTGAATTCTACCAAGCAATCTCTAGACGTTTTGGTCTCAGGACTTTTCAGAATTATCAAAGACTCCCAAAGAACATAGACTGAAATGGGTTGCAAAGATTTCCATTTACTGTACTGGAAATTCAAATAAACATTCTAAAAAATATTTATCAGTTAACTAAAAAAATAATTTATGCATTACCATACATTTTAATAATAATAATAAAGAATTTCCAGAAAAGACAAAAACAAGTGAGAATGGTAGCACTGTTTCACAGCTTTGTGATTCTCCTTCATAACTGGCTTCCCATCCATTTGGGGTGAAATGTGTATGAATCCTGCCTTGTACAGGTACATAGATGGAAATTGGTAGAGAACTTAAGTAGTATTCTTGGATAATTGTGTGTATGTGTGTGTATGTATAGTATACCAAAACTAAGGCCTAGCACGGTAGCCTAGCAGCTAAATTCCTCACCTTGAATGCACCATGATCCCATACGGGTGCCAGTTCTAATCTCGGAGGCCCCTCTTTCCATCCAGCTCCCTGCCTGTGGCCTGGGAAGGCAACTGAGGATGGCCCAAAGCCGTGAAAACCTGCACTTGTGTGGGAAACCTGGAAGAGGCTCCAGGTTCCTAGCTTTGGATTGGATCAGCTCCAGCCATTGCAGCCACTTGGGGAGTGAATCAACAGATGGAAGACCTTCCTCTCTGTCTCTCCTCCTCTCTGTATATTTGGCTTTCCAATAAAAATAAATAAATCTTTTAAAAAAATTAGTATACCAAAACTAGACAAGTCCAGTTTCTTACAGTTTAGCTGTAATGTGGAACCTACAAAAATATCAAAGGAGTTTTGTACACATTATTTGTACACATTATAATTTGCTGGTATATTTTATACTCTGAATGGTCCTTTACTCAGGGATGACTTCATAACATACTAGTTACATGGAAATATCAGTTTCTTGACCACAACAGATTTTCCTAATGTCAATTTCATTATATAAGATCCCAAATAATTCATAACACTCACCTCCATTCTTATCAGAAAAGCTTAAGTACTGGGAATCTGTGAGATCATAGTGGCTCACACAGGCTTTCCAAATTCCTACCCCAAACAGATCCAAGCTCTGATTTATCATCAGTAAAAATACTGTTTTTATGCTGTTTTGTATGATGTAACAAGGCAACATTCATTTTTTCAGAAAATATCTGAAGGGCTTTTTTTTTTTTTAGTTAATTTTGACATCTGGAAAAAATACAAGCATAAGTACTTTGTCAGTCATTCTCTAAAATAAAAATCAGACTGTTGAGAGGAGAAACAAGCTATTTCAGGAACATAAGTGCTTTCCCTAAAGATAATAATCGTATTTCACAACACAGCAAAAATGCTCTATACACATTCTTATTTTGTTACATAAAATCTCAAAATGTGTACTAGGAGAAAATAATCACAAATTACATGCTTGATTAACAATCAATTTGTGTGAGTATATATATATACATATATATACATATATTATAATAACAACAAACTAAATTTTAAAATGAGCAAAAAATTTGAAGCCACTATAACAAAGAAACACACATGACAAACATACATATGACATGAAAAGATGCCCAAACATCGTCAGTCATCGGCAAAACACAAACCAAACCACCATCAGATACCACAGCATACTTTAAAAGGTTTTACAAACACCAGAAATGGACAAGACCAAGTGTAGGGAAAGTGGGAAGGGAAATCACTGGGATGTCCAGCCATCACTGGTGGGAACACAAAATGAGACCACCATTCTGGAAGGCAGCTTTGCTATTTCCCTTTTTCATTTTTAAAAAAGGTTTTATTTATTTGTTTGAAAGCCAGAGTTACAGAGGGAAAGGAAGAGAGAGAGAGAGCAAACTAGCTTCCATATGCTGGATCATTCCCCAGATGGCTGCAACGGCCAGAAGTGGGCCAAGGTGAAGCCAGGAGCCAGAAACTTTTTCTGGGTCTCCCACATGGGATAAGGGGTGCAAACACTTGGGCCATCTTCCACTACTTTCCGAGGCATATTAGGGAGCGGGATTGCAACTGGAGCAGCCAGATCTTGAACTAGTGTCCATATGGGATGCCAGCATCACAGATGACAATGTTAACTACTGTGCCACACAACCGGCTTCAGTTTTGCTGCTTATTAGACCATTAAGCCAACAATGCCAGTCCTAAAAGTGAAAATTCACAAGCACAGAGCAACCTGCACACGCTACCAAACCAGACAGTGACGCAGATGTCCTTCATTACAGGAATCTGTAGGATACCTGCACAACACAATACCATACAGCAGTGAGGACACAGGAGAATCCCAAGTGCATTAAATGGGGTGAAAGGAGCTAGATTCAGACAGTCATATGCTGCAGAACTCCACCAATACAGCATTCTGGAAAATGCTAAACGACAGGAGCAGAAAACAGATCACTGGGTAGTAGACGCCAGACAGGGGGCAGGAATTAGATGGAACACATGACACTTTTTTTTTTAATTGGAAAGTCAGATATACAGAGAGAAGAAGATCTTCCATCTGCTGATTCAATTCCCAAGTGGCTACAACAGCCAGAGCTGTGCCAATCCTAAGTCAGGTGCAAGAAGCCTTTTCTGCAGGGTGGAGTGGGCAGGACTAAGGCAGGCTAACCTTAGCCCACAAGCAAAATTAGAAATCAGGATGGAGCACAGGTCATGCCGAGCTGGGCTCTTGTACCTACTGGTCTACGTGAGCCAGGGACGTTAAGCCACAGAATCTAGGGCAGGGGTTGGGACAGGTGAGGGGCTATGACAAGCTGAGTCAGAGCAACCACTGGCATGTGCGTGATATATGGCTGGGAACAGGCCCGATTGGGGAGATAAGGGGACTCCCTAGCTGGGTTGAGATTACCACTGAGGAGCTTGGGGGCTGGAATGGGGGCTGCATTCAGATCTGGATATGACTGTAGTCTCCCTTTGCACAAGTGTGGGCTGGGACTGGACACACCAAGCCGGGCTAGACTCCAACACCATCTGGTGCTCTGGAGGACCAGGGTAGATGTGGGACGGACTAGGCTAGGTCTCAGCCCCTACTGAACCATGTGTGAGCTGTATGTGGGTATGGACAAGCCATGGCTGGGCTGAAACATCCAACAGTAAGAACCAGCTTGGGTTGAAGGCCAGTCAGGAAAAGCCACAGTTCCTGCTAGGACAGGAGGTGAACTGAATAGCGCTGGCTCATGCAACCACTGGTAGCACGAAATCTGGCACTGGGAGAGGTTCTGATGGAGGAACCTGGGCAACTCCTCTGCCAGGACACAGTCCCTGCAGGTAAGCACAAGAAGCATGATAGAAACAGCCCAGAACAGGCCATGGAAAGTATCACACCAGCATACATTTGGCATGGGTCAGGGGCAGACCAGGCTGAACCAGTTCATATCACCCACTAGTGAATCCGAGCACCAGAACAGAGTGTGGGTCGAGCCAGGTTCGGTCGCCACAAAACACCAGTGCACGTTATGGAATGCCAAGGTGAAGTGACCTGTACAGGATGTGACCACAGCACCCAACCAGCACACATGAGAACCAAGGAGGGAAGGGGCAAAGCCGGCAGGCTTGGGCTTTGCTGCAGCATCAGCTGGCAGAAGCTGGCACTGGGGGCTAATTCTGTCAAGTTAAACTGCAGAACCACCTGGAGAGTGCATAATCCGGGAATGGGAGTGGCATAGAAAGGAAATAGTGGGTGCCTCCCTCTTCGGTTACCACTCCCACCAGAGGGCACGAAAACCAGGACAGGAGTTGGGGTGACTAGACAGAACGGCACCCAACAGCATGTATGTGGGCTAGATAGTCGGGCTGGTTGGGTTGAACTAGGCTTCGATGCCCACTGACATGTATGAGAGCTGAATGGGATGTGGGACAGACTGGACTAGTCTGCTGCACATAATGGCAAGCATGGGAACCAGGATGGGGGCGGGCCTGGTGGGGGTTATTGTGGGTCGCTCTGAATAGTCTACAGTTCCCACTGGTTTATGTGAGGGCCGAGTGTGTGGTGGGCAGAATCAGGTTGGACTGCAATACCCATTGGTTCCAGTGGAAGACAGGGCTGGAAACAGAACCAACCCAGCAATTATAACAACCAGCTGATTGGGGCAATAGACTGTACCGGGTCCCGTACTTGCAAAGTACACACAAGAATCTGGTCTGGGAACACCTCAGACAAAATTTCTTTAGGGATCTCCCCAATCGAACTGCCAGACTCAGATCCCTAACCATGAAAAGACAAAGGTCAGAACAAGTCAGTCAACTAC